CTAATGATGTTGAGCATCTTTTCATGTGCTTATTGGCCATTTGTATATCTTCTTTGGAGAATCCCTGTTGATGTTCTCTGACCATTTTTAAATTGAATGGTTTTTCTTTTTGTTGTGTCTGCCTACTTCTGTATACCTTTTAAATTCTCCATAGTAAAAAAAGATGTAAAAATAGCAGATATTTTATTAAAAACTTTAAGAAACACATTTTTTTTTTCTGGAAAGGGAGTAGCCTTCCCACTTTTTCCCCCTTGAATTCCCCAGAGAACCTTGCATAATCCCTACCTCCATATACCATCATAATACGATCTCAAAAAAAAAAAGCATTTGCTCTTCAAACAAATAAACAAGCACAAGTTCCTTCCGTTTCACCGTCTCAAAGCAGAGTGGAGGGTCGGAGAGAGGGGCTGGGACTTAGAGTAGCAGAGGCTGGCTGTCCCCATCACTCTGGCCACAGCTGGAGGCTGACCCCTACCTGCCAGCCTAGTGAGTCATTCCCTGACGTCCCACCTCAATGTCTTTGCTAAGATTCCTCCGGGAAGGGAGGGCCCCATCTATAGTGGAAGAAACCTTCTGGGCCCCCATCCAGCCACATCACAAGACTGGATGGCCCCGCCGCGAGACAAGCATGTCAGTGGCTTCCATAGCCGATGGGCGAGGCCACACCGTCTCATGTTCTGCTGCGGTAGTCAGGCCAAACAGATGGCATGGGATAAACAGGGGGTAGTGCTGGGGGAGGTGGGGGGTGGTTTGGAGTGGCCTCAGTCTCCCTCTGGATTCTAGAGAAAGAGCTGGGCAAGGTGAAGGCCATGGCTGTTTGTGATGTTTTTTAGCAATGCAACTCTTGTTCAAACAAACCATCATGACGTATGAGACAGAAAAAGGAGGCTGCTCCAGCCAAAGAGGGGGTGAGACGCCCAGAACCTTCCCTCCCTCCATGCCACGTGGCACCCCAGGGGATTCTGGGTCTTGGAAGAACACCTCGATCCCGTTAACACATAGCCTTTATACGAAACCACTTGGGAACTCAACACATTCTGTCTCTGTGAGCTCGCAGGGGGCTCCAGAGGCCCGAGGAGGAGCCTGGCAGCACGTCCAGCTCCAACCTGAGGGCCTGGCCCCATTCTACAGAGCCAAGTGGCCTCTTCTTACCCCTCACCAGCCAAGGACCGGGAGACGGCCAAAGGCTGGAGAGATGGGCCCGGGTGCGGGCGGGCTGAAGCAGTGGACAGGGACAGGAGCTGCAGGGGCCTGGTCTCCCAGCTTGCCCAGCTTCCCTTCCAGCAAGGGAGCGTGGGCCTCAGCCCCGGCCTCCCCCGAGCCCCCAGATGTGCCTCACTCCCGGTGGTCCACGTGTAGCTCCTGCCCCTCCACCTCTGCCGCTCTTCCCCTAGAGAGAGTGAGAAAAGGAATGCCCCTCCTGCAGAACACTTCAAGACATCATTTCCTCAAACCCAGATTCTGGTTCCCAGCACGGTCAACCTATGGGGGCCCCCAGAGACCCCGACAGTCCTGCCAGGTTAGTTCTTTACCTAGAGAATTGGCCCGTTTTAACTGTGGGATGGAAGGGGGGCACTTGTAAGGAAGCAATAAAGAGTTGGGCAAATACAGTCAGGCGCCGCATAATGACAGACAGACCGTCGGTGACAGATCGCACATACGCTGGTGGTCCCGTAAGGTATGTACCATCCAGCCTAGGGGTGTGGCAGGCCATGCCATCTGGGTTTGTGTGAGCACACTCTGTGATGTTCACACAATGACGAAATCGCCCAACGATGACTTCTCAGAACGCGTCCCCATCGCTACGCACCCTGCGACTGAAGTTTTACTCTGAGCTTCAGTTATCTTGTCCAGGCACTGACGGGGGTCACAGTGACTCCTCCACAGGGCTGTTCTGAGGATTAAATGAGATAGTGCAGGTCCCAACCCAACCTCACAGCAGCTCTGGTTAGAAGTAGTCCATACCAGAGAAAGGGCATGGCTCTGTCCTTCATAGGCTGTGTCACCTCAGGTGAGGCATTTCCCCTCTCTGAGCTCCAGTTTCCTCATCTGCAAAAGGGGCATATTAATATTTCCCTTGCACAGTTGCTATAAGAAGTAGAGACAATTCACACAAAGTGATTACTATAGTGCCTGGCATAGGGAAAGTACTCAAAATATGGTAGTAATTATTACCAATTACTAATTATTGCAATTATGACTATTATTACTACTATATGTACTATTATTTAGCGAGAAGGGCAGTGTGGTTTTGCAGTTAAGCACACAGACTCTGAAGCCAAATTGCCTAGGCTTAAATTTCAATTCACCAGTGGAGCTGTGTGACTTTATGCAAGTTACTTAACCTCTCTGTGCCTGCATTTTGTTAACCATATAAGGGGAATAATTATACCTACTTCATGGAGTTGCTGTGAAAATTAAGTTACTGTATGTGGAGAGCTTTGAAGACCATCTGGCAAATAGTAAGTGCTACAAACATGTTTGCTGTTAGCAGTGATAGTATTTGTATTATTACTACTATTATTAACAACCAGATTCTGAAATCGTTCACCTTGGATCCGATTAAGGAGAGTCACAACTAAACATATTCGCTATCTCACTAATGGTTTAGTGACTCTGAAGCTGTGTGACCTTAGACAAGTTACCTACCCTCTCTGAGCCTGCTTTTATTTATCTACAAAATGTGAATTATAATAGTACTCCTAATGGTCCTTTTAGGTGGTGAGGCTTCGTTAATGAGCGATGACCCGTGGGAAGCGTCTAGCTTCTAGTTAATTAGGCTCTTGTCCCAGGGCCCTGCCCTACTCCGGCTCCCTACCGCACCCCGGCCTGCCTCCCGGCCCTGCGGGAGAGCGCTCGCATTCCCTCCCGCTGGGCGCGGCGGGGGGGCTGCCCGGCGCCCGCTGCCAGGCTGTTCTGGGGGCCGCGGGCCGGTGGCCTTGCCCAGCTTCCCCGGGGATCGGGTTTCTGCTGACGCGGTGCCAGGCACGTCTGCTTCCAGGAACCGGCAGCCGCATTTAGCCGCGGGCCGCACATGAAAGCGCTGCAGTCGGAAACGTGACGTTGTGTCAACAGGCGAGGCGGGTCAGCGCGGGGTGAGCCCAGCCCGGCAGGCCCGGGGCTCCCGCCCTGTCTGCGCACAGCCGGGCCGCAGCCTCGCGCCCCTCCTCCCGCCGGCGCTCCGGGCCCCGCGCTCGCACCCCCCTGTGCACGGAGGTCTCCCGGTGCGGAGCGGGCGGGCGACAGGCTGGGGGACGAACCCTCCCTCCGCGGCGCCCTCTGCGCCACTTGGAACCTGCTGCCGCTGGGCTAGAAGGAAGGTCAAGGGCAAACCAGAAGCAGACACAGACAGGAGGCAGGGGGGCAGCGGCCGCCCGTGGGGCTGCTGGAGAGGGGCAGACTCCAGGAGGGGCATTCTGGGGGGACGATGTGCTGAACCCGCAAGACCTTTTATAGTGCAGGTTGCTCCAACCACTTCCTTCTGGCCCCGCAGCTACGCCCTGAGTCACGGCCCAGCAGAGAGCGGGGCATGCAGATTCCCTCTTGATGTCAGCCCCCTGCTCATCCCCGGGATAAACTTGACGTGCTAAGGTTTTTACCAGAAAAGTCTAGCAAGAAAACCCTAGCAATTCGGAGTCTTAGCAGGCAGGAGAGCTGGCCCTGAGAAGCTGGAGAAAGAGGGACTGACAGAATGTGCCATCTACCTGCTATAGGACAGTGAGGAGGGCTCACAATGTTCTTTTACCTCGTCACAAACGGGCGTGGAGGGGGAGATGACAGACCACTCAGCTCACTGAGTCCTGGTCCGTGGCTCGTTCCACGACTCGGTGCTGCCAGGGGACAACTGTGCCTTTTCCACCGTGCGTTCTATGTCTCACACAAGCCAGGCAATGCTTGCTCTCGCCTGTGGGCTCATCGGGAGAGAGGGAAGGTGACATTTGAAGCAAACAGTTTTGAGGGGCAGGTGGTGCCTTCCCCCGGCTGAGAACTCCCTGGGGACAGGTTCCCCGCATGGGCTACAGATAACCACAGGGTTCTGGAAGACTCGGATGCTTTGAGATCTGGAGCATGACAAGCCAGGCGCTGGCCGTCAGGAAACATCAGGACACCTCTGAGGGAGAAGGGGAGAGGCAAAAATACTCAGCCGGGTCATTTCCCATGAAATTTTTTCTTTTTTTCCTAAGAGCACTTGACTAAGGAACGGTAATGTTCATTCACGCACAAACACACCCAATGAGAGGAAGTCCAGGAAGGATGTAGAAAATAATTATGGAATGTTGCCTTCAGCAGCAAGAAGACAGGATATGGCAAATCCATCAGACCTTGCTAGACTCGAAAAAGTTAGACTGCCTTGGCAAAGAGATGTGCTCCCCGGCATAATTATTATTGCATAATAACCCATTAAATCTTTTCTCAATGTGCCTCCCCCTCCAGCAAGCCCCCCAGACACGAAGGCCCACAATTTCATACTTGGATTTTCTGTCAAGTTCTAAGGACCATGACAAAAGTAGACTGGGGGAAAAATATACTTTTTGCTCAAGTCTGGAAGGAGGCATCAGATGATTGTGACCCTCTGGCAGTGGTTAGTCAAAGAAAAAGATTAAACAAATATTTACCTACTAAATTGACTAAGCTTATTCTGTCTGACTGAATACCAGGCACATGGAAAGCTGAATGAAATGACACAAGATTAACTAGTTGTTGCCTTCAGCCAAAAGAGGAGGGCAGAAGGGGACAGCCACATCACACGATGGGGTTATTTTTAAAAAACGCAGAAGACCATCTTTCTCTTCCACAGGAAAAGGATTATTTTATTAAGTATTTTAAAACAACTACTTAACATTGACTCATAGATAAAAATATTTACAATTTTACACCTTCAGGAAGGTTCCAAAATATAAACACTGTACCTCTCCCTAGAGAAAAAAATTCTTCTCTTCAAAAACAGGAATACATTCATTTTTCTCGCTTTGTAGATCAAGTAATTATACAAATAAACATCTGAAACATTTTCCTTTTTAATATATTTATATAATATATATTTATAACAGTTTTACAAATAAAGGCAACGACGTTATACCAAAATAAAAACAGGAAAAGAAAAAGTTAAACCACAATCGGCGATCAAGCATAGTGCATTTTTTGAAACGCTGGTGCAGGGCTGGCTGGACAAGTCAGAAAACAAGTACTCTGGACCAAAAATAAAACTTCTTTGAAGGAGACAGAATCGTTTTTAGCCATCAGGCCACTCCAGATGCCACCGGGCGAGGGGAATCAGCCTGCAGAAAGGATCTTGCTGTGCCAAGGGCCTGTTAGGCCTTTAAGAAGCTAAGCTTGGTGGAAAGGAGTTTGGAGATAGAACTGAAAACGGACTCCAGCTCTGCTTGTTGAAGGCAGCAATTAGTTACTTGGCTGTATGCACTTTGGGGTGCTGGGAAATAGGCGTCTGGAGCTCTCCGACTGTGGTTTGGTTCCCTGGACAGCAAGACTGTTTCTAGATGAGACCTAGAAACAGGTGCCAGAGGCCCCAGGGACTCCTCCCTCATTCCCTGGCAGCTCGGCTTGTACCAGGGGGCCCAGTTCCTCGGTAAGCTAACCACGAAAGCCTGAGGAGGGAACTACATTCTCTTTATTCATCCGAGGCAGGGGTGGGGAGCAGACCTGCGGAAATCTCCCCAAACCACTGCCGTGCTGTGCCAGTGTCTGCTACCTCACCACTTTGCAGAAAGCTCAGTCTGGGTGCCCTCTCCCTGTATGGTGAGTCACGGAGACAATAAAAGGGAGAAGGGTGGGGTCACAAGAGCTGGCTGGGAGCTGCACTCTGGAAAGCCCTCTTTTGAAAGTACCTTTTTCTCAAAGCCACAAGACCCAGCTCCCAAAGCGAAGACTGACTCACACACCAAGAGTCTGAAGCTTTTGGAAATCCAGCTGATTTGTATCAGAGGGGGCTATTCTCTGGGTGGGGAAGAGCCAGAGGTCTGTGACAAGCCCCCAAACCTCCCGATGTCAGGCAATCCTTCATGTCTTCCCTACGCCAAAAGGAGCTTCAATGTCCTACACCAACACACGATGTGCACGCACGCACGCGCACACACACACCCCCCCCCCCCCCGAATTTTCTCTCCATGCCTCAGATTATCTCGGCACACACACGGGAACAATCTCGCTGCACTCACAAACACATTTTTTTTTTTGGAAGTAGGGAGGAAGGAAAGTAAAGCAACAGGATCCCCTAAAGAGTTTAGTCTTTGGTTTCTAAGTTTAAAGGGGGGATCTGCTTCAGAGCTTGGAGCAGGGCAGAAGAGTCGAGGGCCGGATGGGTGGGCAAGGGAGAAGGGAGTCTCTGGGGCATGAGCAAGGGGGCCGAGATCTTGTCTGGGTTCATGAAGCTGGTGAGGGCTGCAGCGGAGGCGTTGAGGCCCGGGTACAACACTGGGACCGAGGTGGGGTACCAGCACTTCTCCAGCATGGGCAAGTAGGCAGTTGCTGAGGGTGGGATCAGGTAGAAGGGCAGGCAAAAGGGAGGCTGGTGCGGGTGTGGACCCAGGAACGGGGAGCTCATCAGGTCACTGCCAGTGAAATGGCCTTCATCATCTGAGAGCTGCATTCTGCTCTTTTTTGTGGGGGGTTCTTCAGATTCTTGCTTAATAGCACCAATCCTTTCTCCCATGGTGAACCTGCGTCCATGATCGCTCTTGAAGTACGGTTGCTCGCCGCGCAAGTCACCCTTCTCTGATTCTCCTCCGTAGCCGCTGTCTGTGTCCGTGTCACTGCCACTCTGCTCCCCACTTGAGTGAGGGAAAGTCCGCTGGATGACTGGCACACAGTTTTTCCCAGGGCCTTCGGAGCCGTTGGCCAGGGAGCTGGGTTTCTCCTTGAAGTCCATCACTTTGGGAGCCGGGTCTGCCGGCTTCCTGGAGGTACCACCCTGCAGCAGCTCCGAGACCACTCGGTGGAGGTGAGTGACGAGCTGTGAAGACTTCAGGTCCCGAGTGTTCTCATGCTTCGCCAGGTACTGAAGCACCTCCCGGGCACACGTCTGGAAACCTGAGCAGAACATCTCTTGACCTGCTTCGACATTTCTCCCCGACAGCTCACCTGGATCAACAGAGATCCAAAGGAAGACATTTCAGAAGGCCCTGTGGTTCACCTGGCGACCTATTCTGCAAAGACCGGGAGCTTGCCTTTTTATTAATAGCATTTGCTCATTTATGTTCCTAACTCCAAAAGTAATATGACCAGAGAAAATTTGGATTACACTGAAAAGGATAAAGAATAAACTAAAAATCATCCATAATCCTACCACCCAGAGAGAAAATAGGATTGTAAGGGCTGCATAGTATCCCATCATATAAATAGACCATAATTCACAGAGACGGGCTATTTCTCCTCTTGCTGAATTTATAGACTGTTCCGAGTTTTCATTATAAGCAACACAGCAATGAACATCCTGATATGTTCTAAGTCAGAGCCAATTTATAGAACTCGATTGCACTGTAGCAAGATAGACAGAGACCAGACAGTCATAAAATGAGATAAAGAATGAACAAGATCACCTGAAGTAAGCTTATTTCCAATGATTTATAAAAGCTGCAGTCATGCTGTAAGCTTTAAACTCAAAGGCTGTTTCTAAGCCCTGGCCATGTATTCTCTCCACGACCACCAGGAAATCAGGTGTGATCATCTTTCTATTTTCAGTGAGGAAACTGGCAGACCTGCTTGCTAGGCTTTTGTGATTCTCATCACCCTAGTCTTGGAAAGGAGGGCAGAGAAGAATGGAATGAGGGAGTGGGTGGAAGAATTTCTCCCTGGCCTGTACAGTATTATCTGGAAGGGGTGAGACGGGAAGGTTAGAAGGTGACTGGGATTCTCTGGAAATCGGGAGAAGCGAATGATGAAACTTCAGTGGTTTCATTAGATTGTGCAATTCGCCAAGATACCTAGTGGCTATTCAGGGAACCACATGAAATGCAGGAAAAACTCCTGCTGTCATCCTGCCAGGATCATACCACACACCGAGCGATAAGGAAGTAGAGAAACAGGAAGACACTGGGGCATACCCATGATTTATTCTCCAATGAAACAGGGCTAAGAAGACGAACTGTAAAACACCCACGATGCAAATTACAGGTGCCTTGGCACTTTCAAAGGGAGGGGGCAAAATCTCCCAGAACTCAGAAACTCTTAAGCCAAAATGCCAGAGAAATATTTTATCATTTGACTAATACGCATTCATGCCAGGTGGCACACAGCAGCATTCCAAATGAAAAGTCTGACCTTTTAGGAAAGACAAAACAGCATCTCCCCCAACGAATGTGCATGAGCAGTTTGTTGCAGGACTGTTTCTTATTCCAGATGTCGAGCCCCCAGGCTCTCTGTTTGTGCTAGAACTCTTAAGAGATGATAGCCACGCTCCGGCACTCACCAGCTTGTAAACCGCTCTGCAGGGCGATGATTTTCTGCTGCTGCTGATCAATTAGGTTTGTTAGCGCTTTCACATGCTTCAAGGTAAGTTCAAGAACCACCGCTTTTTCCAAGTGACCCAAAGTCTGGAATGAAAACATCCTCAGTCAGCGGTGAGCTCAGAAAAGTCCCACCTCTGGGACATTTATTAGCAATGAGAAATGTCTCTAAGGGGGGAAAAAAAATGAAATAGCCTTTCCTAGTTGGCTAAGTTTAGTTTCAGGTTTATAGATTATGTTTTTAAACAATATATATTATACATGTTTCCAATTAAAGAACAAAAAAGTGTCACCTATCTTTGGAGGCCTTTTGGAAGAGGCAGCTACCTCAGGAGAAAGCTATGACAGATATATTTCTCCAGCAGCCGCTGCTGACCTGAACTAAGGGGGATCTGGAGATGCCGTTTCTCTGCAGTGGTGTCAACGGGAGCAGGGACATCTACTATGTCTGGCAGCCTAGAGGCTTTCCCTAGCTTCTTTCCTGACACCCTTTCATAACTTCCAGCTCATCCAGGCTTTTTCTTCCTTCTCAAATACTTTTTTTTTCCTTTCCCCAACCAAAGGCTGCCAAGCTAGTAAGCTGTTGGCTACTGACAGGAAAGGACAGGATGTAAAAATTACACACCAAAACAAGTCCGCTTAGTTAAAAAGGTGTGTGTGTGTTGGGGGGGGGGGTGGCCAGCGGAGAGAAAGGGGTAAATAAAATCTGCGTGTTGCCTGGTTGGCTCAAGTCTGTTAAACTAGAGAACCCTGAAAATCACCAGAAGGGAAAGTCTTAAACCCTTGAAAAGGAAGGCCAGTTGGTGTTGGAGCCAACTTGGAGAAGTCCAAGAGCTTCTCACTTCATTTGGATGAGGCAGGCAGAAAATCCCAGGACTGAGGAAGGGTACCCCAAAACAGAGCCACCCGCCAGCTCCTATCCGGCCGTCGGGTCTGCAGTTCCCCGCGGGGCCTGCAGGCGGCGAGTGACCCCTGCCCGCCCTCCGGGCAGACGAGCTGGCTTGGAGAGGAGCCAGCTTCTCACTTACTGTAAGTTTGAGATGTTCGGGTAGGAGATCCTTCAGCTGGGCGATGCACTCGTTAATCCGGTCACGTCTCTTTTTCTCGATGAGCCGGTGCGGCAGTTTGTAGGTCTCCTGCAAGGCGCACGAGGAGGAGGTGGGCGCCTGAGGAAGGGGGTGAGAGCCCCCTTTCCTCCCCTACCCCGCGGCGGGATAAGAGTTGGGGCAGCGGAGCATAGTCATACCCAGAATCACCTTCTGCCCCTTCTTCTCCATGCCACTCAGTAGAGGCACTGAGCCCACCCCTTGCATACCCCCGCCAACCTCAAAGTGAGAAAACTTTTCTTGGAAACTCAGCGCGTGCGAGGGGCTGGGGTCCTCAGGGGCGCGGTGCTCTCACCTTGCTGTCGTCGCTCCGCTTCATTCCTCGCCTCGACTTGTACACTTGGTACATGTGGGCAAAATCCATCCTGCAGAGAGAGGGACCAGGCAGGGTCGTGACTTTGCGTGCGCACCGGCTGCAGGAGCCCTGGCAGACAAGAGCCCCCGGATGCTCCGGAGCTGCTCCCAGTTGAGAGCGGCGCAGAAGGCAGGGCTGGAGTTGAGGTTGGAAGGGGCCAGGGAGTGCCAACTTACCCTGGTAGGTCGCCGGGCTCCAGTCCTGGCGCTTTGGGCAGGCAGGCGGGGGGCGGTTGCGCGCTGGGGATCCGCTCCATGGCGCGGCGAGCCGGGGCACTGTGCGCTCCTGTCTGCAGTAGCGGAGCGTCGCGGTGAGGACTGTCCTGGAAGGGTCTCTCCGCAGGGGTTCTTCTGAGTCTGAGCTCCCTGAAATCCGCTAGGCTGCCGGGAGCTGCGGCTTTGAGGTGCTGCTGCTTCAGTTGGGGGCGTGCATGGTGTCCCCGCGGCCTCTGGCTCTGGCTCTGCGCACAGACTGGCGGTGTGTGCTCCCTGCGCCGTCTGCGCCGTGCGAGCCAAGTGAATGAGAAGTGGGGCGGGCGGGGAGGCGGGAGAGAGCGCGGGGGGGGGAGGCGGTTAGGGCGGAGTGGGGGGGGGGGGGGGGCGAGCTGAGGAGTAATGGAGAGGCTGCGGGCTGGGTTAAATGGGAGCGTGTGGGTGGGTTGGAGCTACGTGTTCTACCCTGTGACTCCAGGCACGTCTGGCCGCTGCCGGGGAGGGAAGGAGCGACCTGCCCGCCCTCCCCCGGCTTCATCACATGAGTCTCACGTGTTGGACAACGCTCCCGCGGCTGCGAGGGAGCCCCCACCCCCAGCCTGGGCCCCCAGGTGTCTGCGGCTGCGGCTGCCTTTCCCCGAAGAGGGGGTGGCAGCGCGGCCCGGGTCCTGCCCAGCCGGGTGGGGGGCGTGGAAGCTAGGAGAGGCCGGGGAGCCGGGGGGTCCGAGGAAGGGGGGGGGGGTTGGTAACGTGGGCGAACCTGCCCCAGGGAAATGAAGTAAGTTCCCGTCTCCTGGGAGGCAACGGGGGAGGACGGATCCGCCCGCGTCTGACTCAAGCCGGGAGAGGAATATCCCCTCGCTCGCTCCAGCCCAACCCTCTTCCTCCTCCCCCGCCCGGCCGGCTCGCAGGAACCGGCGCGCAGCGGAGGGAGTCGCCCAGCCCCCTGCCTTCCCCAGAGGCTGGGGTTTCTTTCCGTGCCGGCTTCCCTGCCCCCAGCCCTCTGCCCGGCGTCCAGGAATTGCCCGCCTGGGGAGGGGCCGAGGGGCGGGGCGGATGTCACCCCATGGGAAGCGGGCGGGCTGCCAAGCGCAGGGGCAGCCGAGGCCGCCGCCGAGCACGCTGCGCGCACCTGACCGCCGAGGGTGTGCGCCGCGGGCCCCTAGCTCCAGGGAGCTCCGCTCCGGGCACAGCCTGCGGGCCGCCAGGCACCCCCGCGCGCCCCCCCGGATGCCCCCCTCCCTCCTTCGGCTAGTCAAGCCCAGAAGGAGACCGGGCGCGGTGCCCTGCGTTCCCTCCCTGCTCTGCCCCCTCCGGAGCAGAGGCGTCCGGGTCGCCTCCCCTCCGGCTGCGACGTTACACAACCGCGGCGGCAGCGCCTGCCCTCCAGCCGCCCGGGGCGTGACGCTTCACGTGGCCGGGGCTCGGGCGCAGCGCCGCCGACTGCGAGCCCCTCTGCTCCGGCTGGGGGACCGGGAGCCCTGGGACATGGTGTGCCCTCCGGGGTCGGCCATGCCCCCGCCTGCCGGGAACTTCGGCGGCGCTGTGTGCGGTCTGCACCCAGAGCAGGAGGGGAAGGGAGGCGAGAAAAACTGTCTGCCCATCACAGTGAAATCTTAGCATCCGTTCAGTCGACACACGTTTGAGCCCCCTACTCTGTGCCAGGAGTGTGCCCGTTGCTAGAAACACTGGGGAGTCAAACATAGCTTCTGCCCTGGAGTGTACGGGAACCCCTGGGAAGAGGATAAATCGAGCAATGAGGGGACGGCAGCCCTGGGAAAATTATATCGGTCCCACTGGCTGACAGAGAAAAAAGATGTTTTGTTGTTGTTGCTTAATTTTATTTAATACGAACCAAGATGCCTGGGTAGAGCAGGACGGGGGAGAAGCTAACCCACTGCCCAGAGCGTGGGGCAGAAAGGCTGTCTCCGAACGGCCCCAGATCTCTGCAATCTCACTTAGGCCGCCGGAGGCCCCCGCCTACCTCCCCCGGAAAAGTCCGGTCTCTGTGACCTTCTAACTCAGCCCGGAGCAGGGAAAACAGCTGAAACGCCAGGCCCGCGGTGCGAGCCGTGCTGATGCAGTCAGAGGAGGGAGCCAGTGGAAATTCATGACTAAAATAAGGCCTGGCTGGGGATTTCACTGACCTCTGCGCTGCCCTGCCCTGCAAGTTCGGGGAGTTGAGAGATGACTGTGAGCCTTTCCCACCGCGCCTCGGGTCAGTCACCTTCTGTGGAGAGTGACCTGGCTGTGGGAAGCATGGAGAAAAATGGGGTCACCGCTGGGACTGGGTGAAGATTCGCCTTGGAGGCAGTTGTAGGGGGCGGGGGGCGGTCGGTCTTAATTGGCAGTGTCCTTGACAATCTAGAGAACTGGGATTCACACGTTGACCAAGCTGGGAGTGGATTTCCTTCAGGTCGCCTTGGAGAGCTCCCACTTCCTGTTTATGTTTCTCAAGCGTCAAACTCATTAGCAAGTGTGAGAAATGCCTCCTTTTCTAACTGCTAACTGGCGTGACCTCGCTTGGGGGCTCAGCTAGCCCTCTCTCCTGAAATGGACTTTTGTCTGCTTTTGTTATCAGCCATCTCTCTGGAGGCAATCATTGGACCGCCACTTCCTGCCAGGAGGTGGGCTGCGGAACCACGGGCGAAGGAGGGGACTGGAGTCTGACCTGGGTTTGTGCTTTCAAACTGGTGTGACCTGCTCCATTGTGCGACTTTAATAAGGGTGAAGAGTTGTCATGACTGCGTCAAAACCACCATTCCACCAGGAAAAAGCACTGGGGGAGGAAGGAACACATGTCCGCTCAGCTGTCACCTCCCCCCCCATGCCAGGAGGGAACCCAAACTTTTGAGCTTCCATGTTTCATGGCTCATAACAATATCATTCTTAGAATTCTCTGAAGATGTCAATAATTTTTTCCCTTATTTGACCTACAATTGGAAATAACAAAATGTATGCATTTCCTACTTCTTATTTGTCCCAAAGGTACTCTCAAGTGTTAAGAATTACCCCCACCCTCCCAAAGTTCTACTGTATCCAGATGTCATTTTTTTCTGTTTTTCTCTCAGTAACCTATGATTATTTGTTATTAATTTAAACCAAATAGTTCCTTCCCAGCATGCATCTCTCCATCCTGAAGAATTGTCATATTTCAGTTTGTCATCTTTTGTAGATACCTGTATAGTGTAGATACAGGTATAGTGCATACTGTGTGCTACTTTTTAGACTGTATGTAAAAACTTAACACATATTTATGGAGATCCAATATGTGCCAGGCACTGAACTAGGTCCTAGGAATATATAATATGTCCTCTTGGGAAAATCGAGACTGAGGGAGGTTAAACAACCTGCCTCAGTGTATCTAGCTTACGATTAGATCTGAAACTAGACCCAGGTTTGTGGGACTCCAAAGCTTGTGCTCTTTCTTAATCACTATACTTATGGCTACCTGGTAGGGTTGCACGGATTCTGCACTGCTCAACTCTAGGGGGAGCCATTCACATTGGGAGCGAGAGCGCCCTCTAGAGTTGTGCAAAGTAGCACTGAGCAGCTGCACTGGGCAATCTGGTCATTTTGTAGCCCTCCCCTCTATTTTGTCTCTTCTAAGTGTGGAGAGAACGTAATTTCCTACTAGGGAAAGGTAGGATTTTTCTTTTCTCAGGATCTTGGTAGTCTGATGCCGTCTGTTGGGAAGAGTCTGTGCTTTACTGTTTACAGTGACTCCCAGGCCCTTCCTGTTCAGGAAGTGAGAGCCCACAGCTCCTCTGCATGTACCCACACCTTTCTTGCTCAGATATCACCTTTTGCTGTTTATGGAGCCTCAAAACTTTTTAGCACGGTTCAAACTGAGAAATATATTTTATATCATGACTCAATACACACAGACATGCACATACACACACACCTTAAGTACATTTAACCCTAGGACAGCAAGGCTTGGCTGGGTTATAGCAATAAACCACGTCTATCCTCTCTCTCAAACTCCTGAGTAACCATTGCTCGCTTAAGGAGAAAGCTAAGCCATTTAGGAAGAGGCCAGTCCAATGTATTCCAGACCAAAATTTCACAAAACAATATTTCCCCTTGATATATGATTCTGATATTTTCTAGTCCAGTCTAACCAATTTTATTTTTTTTTAATCCTGGTCTTGATTTACTAAATTGATTTCACAACCCACCAGTAAATCTTGACCTGCAATTTGCAAACATGCTCTACACTAGAAATAGTGTTGTAATTTTGGCTTGTCCCCAGCAGAAAGCAATCCATCACATCTGCACACTTGAAGATCTAAATCACATAAAAATGTTAAATAAGACTGCTGGTGCTGTTTGAATTCAATGGTTTAAATGTTTCCATTCAGCATATCCTTGCCTTTTGCTCAATTATGGGAGTAAAATAGTCAGAGTTTCATCAATATACATAATGTTATGTGTTGCTTAGATGTATTTCCTTCATCCAGTTGAGGAAGTTTTCCTCTATTGTTGCTTTGCTGAGAGTTTATCGTGAAAGTATGTTGAATTTGTCAAATGCTTTTTCTGCATCCAATGAGACAATCATTCATATGGTTTTTCTCTTTCATTCTGTTAATAACAGAAATTACAATTTTTTGAGTGTTAAACCAACTTTGCATTCCTGAAATAACCCTATCTTGGTCATAATGTATTATCCGTACTTTTATTGCTAGATTTGATTTGCTAATATTTCTTAAGGATTTTTGTCTATGTGAAGTGTAACATCTATAGTTTTTCATTTCTTGTAATGTCAGATTTTATTATCAGAGTACTGCTGGCCTCATAAAACAAGTTGAGAAATATTCCTTCTCTTTTCTGAAAGACCTTTTAGAGGATTAGTACTATTTCTTACTTAAATAGTAGGAGAAGCTACCTGGACATGGAATTTTCTTTGGGGGAAGATTTTTACTATGAATATATTTTCTTTAATAGATATCAGGCTATTTAAATTTTTTATTTATTCTTTGTCAGTTTTGGTAATTTCCGTTTGTCAAGAAATTTGTCTATTTCATTTAAATTTGTCAATATATTGATATAAAGTTTTATCCTTGTAATATCTATATAATCTGTAGTGATAAACCCTTTTTCACTTCTTTTAAAAATTTTTAATTTGTGTTTTCTTTCCTTTTTTCTTGATCATCCTGCTAATGAGCATATCAATTTTG